GACAAAGACCTGCAGTAAGACACATCATCCAGATGAACCGACAGAACTTTAGAAACACCAGTTTCACCACCATTATTCCAAAAACTAACACACTAATCAGAACAACAGTATACCGAGGCCATGGTTCTCATACAAAGACCTGCCAGAGGCCCAGCCCGCTCTGTTTGTTTATTAACCCATCAATAAACATCAATGAGAAGAAGTCGACCGTTTGCCTCTTTGTGAGGATGCTCACAGTCAGCACCTGAACTAGATTTAACCTCTGTTACACGGTTAAAAAGGATGATTACAACCCTGCATCGACCCTCCATTATCACCAGTTAGAATCCAGACTAATGATTTATTCTCAGTACCCAATAAGCACCAAGTTCTCACCACTGTTTCACCTCATATTCATATCCTTCAATACAGAGTTGGAGAAAAGCAGTTTCTTCAGTAGCAACAACTAAAATCTGTGATCCAGTTGAGTCTCCCAGTTGCTGGGAGGGTTGCACCTGTGGGGATCCATTACACCAGTATCACAGGCTCCTGAGGGTCTGGGGCTGTTTTCATTTAGGCCACATTCATTGGGTTAGAGTCTGGGGGAGTCTGCAGCTTTAAACAGTCTAGATAAGGATCATTTGTACACCCACATAACCACACACTGTGTTTATGCACTCAACTATGCTGTTCCTGCTGTTTGCAGATGGCAACTGCATCCACATGGTGGACACCGGCATCGTGCAGAAGCTTCTGGAGCTGCTGGATCGGCATGTTGAGGAAGGAAACGTCACTGTGCAGCATGCAGCCCTGAGCGCCCTGAGGAACCTGGCTATACCTGGTGGGTCAATGTATCAGACCAGGTTACAGGTGACACCTGTTTATTCAGACATGTACCGTCTGGGGACTCTGTGAGTGTGCGGCTAAGCTGCTGTCATTCCCAATTACTTCCACTAACAGCTGGACTATTCAGACGTTTCTTGACAGTTGCACCCACAGAGCTCCAGAGATCGACCCATTCTTTAGAAAATGTTTACCCACGTGCCAGTGCTGAGATCTAAAAATCTAAAACCTGCAGGACACCGGCTCTCGAGGGCCAACGTTCCCGACCCCTGGTCTAAGGAGGTCGATAAGGTAGCTCGGGCTGTGTTGTTGATAATTATAAAAGTAAGCAGCAGTATTTTAAATTGGATGTGATATTTAATTTAAGCCAGTGCAGGTCAGCTGGAACAGGGGTAATAGAGGCAAACCTCCCAGTTCCTCCGCATCGGCAACAGTTTGCAGTCTATGAAGAAGGGCCGAGTGAAGACTGGAATAAAGGCAGTCGCAGTAATCCAGCCAACAGGTCACAAAGGCGTGAACAAGCTTTTCCAGGTCCTTATGCAGAACATACTGCCTAGCCTTGGAAATGACACGCAGTTGGCAGAAACTAGATCTACCTACAGCGGACACTTGTTCATCAAATTTAAAAGAGCTGTGCAGCAACACGCCCAAACATCAATCAAAAAATTGCTCTTTTTTTATTCGGGCTACTTAAATTTTTTTTTGGGCTACCAAAAACTGAAGAGTCCCTGCCCGAATGGCCACCAGTGATTTAGAAATTTTGCGAGCCCTGGTGGTGGTAGACAAACAGAAGAAGACGGTCGTAGTGATCGATGTAGTGGTTCCCAATGACAGCAACATCAGGAAGAAGGAACACGAGAAGCTGGAGAAATACCAAGGGCTCAGAGAAGAGCTCGAGAAGATGTGGAGGGTGAAGGTGACGGTGGTCCCAGTCGGAGGACTCGCCCACATGCTCGTCAAGAAGTCATTCATGAAAAAGTTCATTTTATTTTAAACAAAACAATCGACAGATTGTGAGGGTAAAACATATAATCTACTGATAAACAAATTGTAAACCAACATGATACATGTTCATACTGACATCTAAATAAATAAGTTACTGTAAAAAGAGTTTTAGAAAAGCTTTGGATAAAATCTCTCATTAGTTCTACTGAGATAAAGAAACTGAGCTCTCGCTGTGGAGGATCTAACACTGCCTGCATGTTCAGACTGACCACGGAGCTGCACACGGCAAAATAAGGAAAACATTTAAATAAAGTGTTGCAAAAGTATCATCCACTGATGTCACTGCTCCTCAGTCTGCAGCTCTGTACATCCTCAGCTCTGCTTTGCAGGCCAGGAACTAGTCTGATCCAGTGGCTCTGCTCTTATTTGTGTGTTACTGCACACTGTGGAGACTCTGCTGCGTTCAGCTGTGATTCATGTTCACTTAGTTCTCCCTGTGTAATCTGCTCTGTCACCTGTGACTCATGCAGCCTGCAATAATCACTCAGCTCTGGCAGCCACTTTAATATCAGCATATTGCTAATGTTCTCTGTGCTGGTAGTTACAGAGCTGATGTTTCCACGTCAGCCATGATGGATCTTTGTTCAGGGTTGGGAACGCCAGCTCCTTCATAGCGAAGGAGGAGCTGTGTGCCTGATGCTGTCAGCGCGACATAAGCATCATATACCTTTGTTTGTTGTTAACAGTGTTTGTTCTCTGTTTCCTCTGCAGTGGTGAACAAATCCAAGATGCTGTCAGCTGGAGTGGCAGATGTGGTGTTGAAGTTCTTGCAGTCGGAGATGCCTCCAGTGCAGTTCAAGCTGCTGGGAACGCTACGCATGCTCATCGATACCCAAGGTAAACGCTGTGCTGTCGGGACAGTTAGGAGAGCTTCTTAACAGCCTTGATTTTGAGTCACTAAGACGCACAAATATGAAAGCAGCTCCTCACGTATGCAGCATCAATGACAGCAGCCGTGCTTGCCCACTGTGTGTTGGCTCAGCTGAAGCAGCAGACCACCTGGGAACCAACGGGAAGCTGGTGGAAAGGCTGGTGGAGTGGTGCGAAGCCAAGGACCACGCGGGCGTGATGGGCGAGTCCAACAGGCTCCTGTCTGCTCTCATTCGACACAGCAAGTCCAAGGTCAGACACCACACGCCGTCACTCATCCTCCAACACTGTCGCTGTGCTCGTTAACTGTTCAGGTCTGCAGCCGGTCCACGTTCAGGTTTCCAGAGTGGGAGGTAGTCCAGGCAGACGTTTGGAAGTAAAAGGCATCGATAGCGACTGAGCTCTGAGAGCTAACTGCACCCACACGTGCTGATTAGATTGTGTAGTGAAGATCAGATAGCTGGTGTTGATCAGAATATCCCAGAAAGTTCTGGATGTTTGAGCAGCTTCTTTTTAGTGTTATTTAAAATTTGCTGACATTCACAAGCTCAGTTTGTCCCAGTGGCTGTATCACTGCACAGTCGGTGCAGAGCTCATTAATAGTTATGTCCTTCCTGGGTGTGACTCACCTGAAAGAAGACGTCTGACTCCATGGTGTCACTCCCAGTGCACACAGCCAATGAGCTGCAGGGGAAATGGCTGCACTGACCTACATCTTCATTCAGCCTGGAGCTGGACTGTCACTGTTCAGAGACCAGGCTGGTAAACATTCAGCTCTGTTGGGCCGAGCTCACCTTTGACCTTTAGACAGGAAAATATTCAGGATCATTTCACTAATACTGCTTTTTATTTGGACTCTGTCACCTCCACCCATATTTGTGAATTCATTATAGGTCAATCTCCACCCTTCCTTTCATACAACTGATCTTCTCATGGCCTCTGACAGTCGTCTCTGTGCTGCTAGACCTCAGTGCAGCGTTCAATACTGTCCACCATAATATCCTGTTAGAGCGATTGGCATTGAAGGTACTGACAGGGCCTAGAAACAGAGCAGATTTCTCCTATATGTACGCTGCAGAAAGTCTCAGAGTGTCTTAGCGACATACATTGCTGGATGTCTCTGAACCTTCTCAAA